CCTCACATGCTCATCTATATTATAGTTCCTCCTATATTTTGTGTTACCGAAGTAGACTTTCTGGGTTGCCACAGAAACTTTTTTTTGTTTTTTTTAAATCGTGTCACATTTCCTAGCCTCTGGTCTCCAAAACCAAGGAAGTTTTAAGTGGTCCTTTTGGCACTACTACATTGTAGAACTCTTCAGTGAATACCATTTAGTCTTGGTGCTGTTAGTCTTCATTCTGTCTTGGTAAGATCATTTTGACCTCATCTACTGTTATTTTCACTTTAGACAGAACCTCTGCTGAGTTCTCCAGAAACGATTCCCACAGAAAGTTCTCCCCAGTTTCCTCATCAATGAGTAATGATGCAAGAAACCTAACATCTTTTTTGTAACATCCATGTCTCCTCTGAGCACTCATGTTGTACCTTGGTCATCAACTGGCCCTGTAGACATTCTAGTAGCCTTTTGCCTTTTGCCCCTGGCTGATGTGCGGAATGAATGATTTAGTAGTTTGGTTCCTTTGCCTAGCTGTTTACCAAATTCTTTTTGGCCTATCTAATTGTATCTATATGTTTACCAAAGTTCGTGTCCCTTTCTGTTATTTTCTTTTGACTGCTGTATAGCTTTTTGCTATAGTTCAGATTGTCTCTTTGCTTCAGTCTGGTATCCTTCAGTTTTCTCCTAGTCACATGTAAGTATTTAATTCTTTTAGCTCCTTCTCCTAATTTGTTTTTAACAAGACTCACATTGTTCCCTTACTGGAGTTTAGCACAACTATAGAAGTTGGTCTTTGTTGCTCTTTGGAGAAATGATGTTTTTATAAAGTGGGGATTCCAGTGTGAGAGTCTGAATCAGGCCTTGTACATTATTCTCCATTGAGCCAAGGACTGCGCTTTGTCTTGAGGGCTCATTCTGTGAAAAATAATTCCATCTAGATAATACCATCTAAGCATATAAACTCTGCTTCATATAGCAAAGTGTGAATATGCTGTTGTCAGTGATACTGTCCTGGCTAGTGGTCTGATGTGTAGACCCAACCCCATGCTCTTCCCAGCTGGGCTTTGAATTTCAACCCATGTAGATTATGTGTTTCTCTCTGAGGTGCCTGGTTTGCTATGTTTGGAAACGATCTAGGCTCTTTACTATCTAGTCTTTGGTCTAATGGCATTATCCTTTTCCATTTACACTCACTCCTGACTCCTTCAAACCTAATGTAATGAATCCAGCTCAGCAAGGAGTACCTATCAGGAGAAACACCAGACGAGATGGTCTCTCATCACACTATTTCCAATACCGCAGGACCCAAACTGATCTTCTGTTGTGTGTGGGGGGGTAGTCATTTATTTCAATATATGTTCTAAGTGTTTAAACTGGGTTTGATTTTCATTCCCACCACATATTCTTTCAGTGTGTGTTGCACTCCTTCTATATCTCACAAACACCCAATGAATGCTACACATCTCACATAGCAATTTACTGTCATTTTTCTAATCTAATGCTGAGACTTCATACATGCACATAAGGAAGACCACTGTGTTTTTCTTTAGAAGTTTGGCTGAAGATTAGTGGTTTGTAGTAAAATACAAAAACACTTGGACTTTCTGCAATTTCTAGAATTCTTTGAACTAATGCCTTTAGAATAAATAAAAAAAGACCCCGTAAAGGTGAATGGAGGAAGGACTTTTAGTCGAATTGATAGAAAGGGAGTTTGGTCTTTCAAGAGGAACTACTTTTTCAAGGGGAAACTTTGTTTTTAAGACAAGTTTTGTATTCTGTTTGAAACCTCCTCAGATTCTATCATGACTTTGCAATATTACAGAAATCTTTTAAGAGGAACCCTTTTAGGGCAAAACCACCAACCAGGTTAGTAAAAAGCACTACAAGGATAGTATTACTTTATTTCTTCATAAGCTGGTCTTTTAAAGAAGGTAATGGGCAGAGGAGCATTGACTGGGAGAAGACCATGCAACTCTGTAAACAAAGTTTTAAGCACTGAGTTTGCCAAACAAAAGCTTTCACTCGGAACAGACTTTTTTTTTTTTTTTTCAGGCATGCATTCCTAACATTAGATAATTAGGTCAATATTTAGGGACCAAAATAAGCGCAGCCTGGTATTTAAAAGTATCAGAAATTCCCACCCTGGACAGAGGATTCAAAAGCATTTCAGTTACTCTGTATCTTTTGCATATATATCTACAAATGGATTTATTTCCCTAATGCTAGATATCAAGATCAAACGTTTTGGGCAAAAAAGTTAAAATATGTTAAATTAACACACTAAAAAAATTGGTAATATTGTAAAATAGTTAAACCCAACTGTGAGAATCCTCAAGAGTTTTTTTTTACTACACATTCATCTGCTTAGTAATCCCTTCTTTTGTTATAATGAACATTAGAGGGGGGCACTTGCTGAGAAGTAATGTTACAATGGAAGACTAATTAAGAAACATGAGAACCATTTGCAGTTAGTTCTAAGAAATTATTTGGAAACACGTCTTCTCTCTTTTTCTCTCTCAGTGTCTCCAGAGAGTATAACATTTTACATAAGCAGCGTCAGTTCACTCAAGGGAAAGACTGTCCTGCTGAGGGAAAGAAGGGTATTCAAATCTTCAGGGTACAATAGTGCTGCAGACAGCAGCACACGCTTTCACTTCATGCAGTTTCCGTTATCTAACCTAGCTGCTTCCTGGGGTGTAGAGTAGGAGCCTAACTTAGGTGCTCTGAGTCACTTGTCAGATGATTCCTCTCTCTCTCTTGTTTGATTATATAGGAGTTCTGTGAGGACTTACTCAAAGTTGGGTGCCAAAAGTTGCACAGACAATGTTTCAACACCAGCCTTCATGGAGAAATGCAGTCTTAGGTCAGACACCACTGCTTTGGACTGCTTTGCTACGTCACTTATATCTAGAGCTGTTCTGATAATGAAGCAGCATGTCGGAGGGGAAAACTCAAGTGCTGAAGGACTACAGCTGCAACAGTTATTTTAGCAACAGTAGGAAAGCTGTTCTGAAGAAGATCCTGTATAATACTTCCTTAACAACAAGGGAACATGAGATGCAGTTATTCTGAAGAGTGGTTGTCACCAAGTTACAAAAAAAGGGAAATCTTCAAGGCTTTTTTCTTCTTTAAACTTCAGTTTCTAATGCTCAGAGGAAGTGTCCTTGCTCTATGCTTACTTCACTTCCCAGAGAAGCAACTAAGCTCCATGAAACTCATTCTCATGACCTTTTAAAAATTAATAATAATGTCCTGCAATTCTTTGGAAGTATGACATCACTCAGAAATACAAATCAATTATTTCAAAGTTTTCCAGTGTTGACAGTCAAAGTGCAATATTTAGACACTGGAAATCTAGAGTGATATGCATCTCAGGTCTTATTTCACTGTTTACTTTGCCTTCATCAAAGAAAGAAGCGATTCTTTATTTTATGACCCTTTGAAAAGTGTTTTAGCTTTATCTGCAGAAAATAATTAGAGGAGGGGAAGTTTTCTTATGTTGAAAAATAGTTAATTGAAGCTACTATGTCACTTCCTGGGTTCTACAACCTACCGCTAACTACCAGATTCAATATATCACACATAAAGAAAAGTGCAGTCTTTTCCTTTAAATCCAGATAAGGCTGTGGAAGAGTAAGAGTAAGGGTGGTACAGAAAATATCACATGTTGTAAAAACAAAAGTAAAAGGAATTTGATTATGTCATGCCTGAAACTACTTCTCAGACATAGTATTAACAAGTTAAACATTTACACTAGATGGAAGGGTAAACAAAATAAAAAGGATTATTTCAAGTCATGAAATGAGTTAAATAATCTTTGTCTGTCATCTGTCATATTAGCTGTAGAGGCACACACTTAAAATATAGATTTTTTTTTCTATGAAGATTTTATTCTAGTGTTATCACAAGAAGCAATTATGCATACTAATTAGAAATACAGAGACTATCACAACAATAAAACATTCTGTCCAATAAGTTTATTAAATTGAATTGGTGATATTTTGGAGAAGCAGATCTTTTCACTTTTGTAACATTCTACCTGTCGATTCTATACACACCCTAGCAAAATTAAAAGTATTAGGGAAAAAACCACACTTGGTTTGGTTTTAATATTAGGCTCCTAATATCTGATCTGAGCACTCTCCACATTGTTGTACTAATGGTGATCAAGCATTGGTAACCTGAAAAACATTAGGCGAAAGATAACTCAGTAAGGAAACACAGTAGGAAAAGATTTAAATAGAATTTTAATGGTTGTTTTGTAAACGGGTGCCTTCAGTGGCTGCAGCGATGGCAGTGAGTCAGAAGGAAGGGATCAAGGGGAACTGTGTCTCTGCAGAGATGCCCCTGGAGCACAGGGAGCACCCGCAGTTCTGCATCCCTCCTCCAGGGTTTGTCACTATTTACACCCAAAAGCTCATCAGGCTGCTCCAAGGGCAATGATGGCTACTAGCACAAAATGCTCATTGATCCCCCCATTACCCCCAAAATACCTGAGGAAGAGCAGGATGGGGAGGAAAGTGCTTCTCTTTTGCCCTAAAAATGATGGGAATTGTAGCAATGACACCACAAGCTGGGCCTGAAAGACAAAACATCAACAGCTGTGTAAGCCATTCCAATAACTGTGAATTTGATTCACTTGGGAGAGCAAGAGACTTGTGAATCTCTTGCAAAAGGGCCATGGCCTCTGGCAGCAGCCTGTATGGAAATGCCAGTGGTAGAGGTAGAGCAGCCGGAGCATCACCTCCTCCCCATCAGCCTGCCCCGCTTGGCTTTCTGCACCCTTCTCCTTTAGCTGTCTGCCCCTGTATCACCCTCTGGCTCTTCTCTGCCAGCACTGGGCAGCCTGGGGGCATGGAGAGCAGCTGCCCTGGTACTCCCAGGGAGGAGGAGGCCCTGCAGGAGGGTCCTGTGGCCCTGCCAGGAGGTGGCAAACCATCCCTGTGGTGGCCATTGCCTCCTTCCTCCACCCCCAGCACCACACACGGCAGCCCTCCCTCCTTCCTCAGCGGCAGAAAATGAACTGGGTTGGTGGCAGCCGGTGAGTAAAACTCTTCAAAGGCTGCCAGAAATGGCTCCATGCTGAGCCTCACAGACCTGGCACAGCCATGGTGTGTGTGACTAGGCACCAGTGCCCCTCACAGATCGGGCACAGCCATGGTGTGTGTGACAGCCCTGGTGTCCCCTCACAGACTGGCCACAGCTATGGTGTGTGTGGCAGCCCAGGTGTCCCCTCACAGAAGGGCAGGGCCACAGTGTGTGATTCAGGCCCGGTGTCCCCTCCTGAAGCAGAGCGCGTGAGGAGATGCCAATGCCCCCCACAGCAGGCAGGGGCGGTCATGTTTGGGCCTAATATGTCTCCACAGGCTGGGGCTGGGTGAGACTCTCCCACTTGGGCCTTTCCTCACACCCTCGCTAACAGCAGTGGTTGCCATTTAGAGAAAAAGATGTATAGTTATTGGGATTCACTGAAATAGCAAAATAAGCACCAACAGAGTTGTAACATTAGAAAAAAAGGATAACGTTCAGTTTCTTTAGGTACTGTGCCATCTGCCTAGCTACTACACATTTAAACCCCACAGATTTTGTCAGCTGTTTGCAAGTAGCTTTGCTAAACACAGCTTTATAATCATCCTGACTCTATGCAGAATCAAACTAAAATAATGCCTTACCCATCTGGAAGTCTTCCCAGAAAAATGAGGTTTCTGAAAGTCGCCTATGTGAAACAGGGGGAAGGGAGAGCTTCAGTTTGGAAAACAAAACAAAACAAAAAAAACCCAAAATGAAAGCAACCCCAACTTTGTCCTAAATGCCTGTCTATCATACTGTTCTGTCTGTAAGAAAAAGCAGAATGTAGGAGTATTGCACTCAGCAAATAGCAGATCAACGTGCTGCTTTCTGCTGCTGTTAGGTATCTGTCAGGATTCTTCAGGCGAGTCTGGGATTTGCATTTTAGGTGTCGGAAAAACTATCCATTACTGGGGCTTATAGCCATTGCAAGAGTAAATGTTATGTCCATATGTTTAGAAAGTGTGTTCTAAAGTGTGTTCTAAGGGTTTGCAGTGTTTAAAAAAAAACAAAACCAAAACAACAAACAAACAAACAGTTCCAAGGGGATATTCCATATTTCTAACTCTCAAAAACGTCCTAATTTTACTGACCCAAGGACTGCTGCCATGCTTACCCAGAGCTCCAATTTTATTAACCATGTCCTGTAAGCAATTCATTTAAGACTATGTTTAACATGTAAGATATGTATTTTAAGGTATAACTGTCTCCTATATTGCACAAACAACAGCAGCTCAATAAAACTTGTGGTGACAATCTATTTTTCGTACTTTTTTTACAAAATGTTCACAATATTCTGTAAAATCTCCAAAGGTAGAAACTTGTACTGTGCTCCTTTGTTTCCTTTACTAGTATGGTTTGCAACTATGTTGCAGCATCACAAAGAAAATTAGAAGACATTATTATATTGGCAAAGATTTCTTGTAAGGTTTTAAGAAATTAAGAATTGATGAAATGTTGGATTACAGGTCAAATGTCTAAAAGGTTTTCCTTCTTTAATGTTCACTGTATTTGGTAGCCCTAAGATAGAATGTCGTCCTATCCCTACTTGAGTAAACTAGGATCAGTCTGAGTGACTTCAGCAGACATATGTTGACTTTACTACCTGAAGGTTTAATCCATTAGAACAGAACAGAAAAGAACAAACATACTTGAGTCCTAAATTCTCAACACCGTTGATGCGAAATTCAAGCTATGACTCAATATTACACTCTTAGAATTAAAACAATAATTATTTGCATCTTTCAGGAGCAGAATTGTATTAAAGCAGGAAAGGAGAAAGCAAAAGGTAAACAGTTCTAGCCATCTGGGATTTTATATTGTTATATAAATGCTTTAGTTGATTCACTTAGGAAAAACTTTCAAAGCATTTGGAATGGGACTCAAAACTGTAGTGTAACACTTGTAAAGTGTTTGCTTGATTGCATGTAACTTTTAGGGCAGAAGTTCTAAGTTTGCCACACTGAATTCCAGCAGGAAGAGGAAAGATTAGATGAAGGCATGAATGAATGAATGTGCCCAATTTAAGTTTTACTGAATTACTTTTTTTACTATATTTTGTTGGTATGTGCTGACACATGGAATTGCTTGAAGCCTCACAGTGACAACCACATGGTCAGCTAGCCTAACAGGCGTATACACAGCTGTTTTTCTGGACTACATAAAAGAATGTTAGGCTCATTGAAGTACTTTATTCTGGCATTTGCAAAAGTAGGGCATCTTATTTGGATTTTGAATCTGAAAGTGAAATAATAGAATCAAATTTATCCCTGCCACAGCAGAATACATTTCAAAGAGGAAAGAGAAAACAGAAAGATAGTTATAACCATAGTAAAAGAAGTCAGTTTCCTCCTCAGGAGCTGGGAAAAAAGAGACAGTATAGGGAAGCTCCACCACTGAAGCTGGTACCGCCCAATGCCCAGAGCAGATGCACTGGCATATACCAGAGGAGGAAACACAGGCTGACAGTATGGAGACAACCTGTGAAATGAAAACCTTTACTGAAGGGAATGTGGCAACAACTAGCAGCTTGTTGCCCCCGTCACTTTCCCAGTCTCCTGGAGGCCTCTGAGTTCTCAAAATATGTTTACTCAGGGATTTATTGGTCTAAGACACATCATTTATGTTATAACTATGTAATTTGTTTCAGTGGAGGAGTGAAAACAGGAAAGGATCCAAGACAGGATCGTTTTCAGTAATTTAGTATTAAATTACTAAACACAGTGGTAATTTTGTAATTGCCATTACACAATTAATAGTAATTTAGTAATTTAGAGGTGATGGGAAGAAATTATCTGGGACATTGAAGGGACATGGATATATTTTGGGGGTGTGGTCTCCAAAGCAATATGAATTTTGAAGTGCTGATTTGTACACAGGCTGAATTAACCTTACTGCAGATATTCTTAACTGAAGAACAGGTATTTTTCATAGATGATAACATCCTAGAAAGCTGAAGATTGCGATATAATAAATTATACTGGAAAATAGTTACCAACAAACATGGTGGGTATATTAGTTACATGTAACCTGCAGTCACAAGAGGAATTACATTTCAGAAGAAAAGCCAATGCTGTTTTCTGTTTTGGCATAGCCTTCAGTTTGCAGTATCCTTCTTGTCATCAAAATAAAAAAAATCCTACTCTTTTGATTTATTAATCTGCTGTGCTTGATGCTGATGATTTTAGGATGATTATTAATGGTTTCCTACAAAATGGAGATTTTTATTTCCTAAATTTTCCAGAATTATCTGCCTGATGCATTCAGCGTGTTGGTCATATCTGGTTTTGTTCCTTGAAACAAAAAGCCTTTCGAAGTCCCAGTCTTAGAGATGTTTCTTCTTTACTTGTTTTCTCTGTTTCTTTTTTTGTGTGTGTGTCACAAGACTATTTTCTATGTCGAGAAAGACAAATTTGGAGAACAATGAACTCTTTGTGTCATTATTGATGGTCATGTGTACTTAATGTTGCTGATTTAGTTGCCTATTAGCCTATAAGCTGCCTAGAAAGCCCAAGTTTAAATTTTTCCAAGATTTTTTCCTTTTGGTATGTCTTTTATTTCAAAGAAATGATTTTAATGATCATACACAAAGTTTGAGGCATGACTGTTTAAGGACTAAGTTTTTGGCATCAAGAGGCCAGTGATTTATTTTGAATATGACCAAATGATACCTGCAGTCTTTTTCAAGGCAATAAATATAAACTAAATAACAGTAGACAGGGTCATTCAGAGAGATTTAGTCAAGTGTTTTTATTATTAGGAATTGTTTACTAAGAATTATATATGCTGCTAATGTGTTGTTGAAGCTTCTGTCAAAAACTTCTTATTCTCTCTTTCAAAAAATTTAGGAATTCTTTGAAAAGAGGAAACTTAAATCAAAAATGAAGCTTCTGGGAGTATCATCTCCTAAAAGTTCAGCAGTCAGTTTAGATCTCCTCAATCTGTATGTTGTTAACCAGATATCAAACAAAAAAGACAACACCGGTAAGTTTAAGTGTAACAGTGTTCTGACTTCACAGTTAACAGAATCAGTTCTCCTTAAATATTACTGCTATATTTTAGTTCTTGTTCTTCCACTTATAACTTAATGCTCAAATAAGTGTTGTTTCATTTTTTAAATAAAAAATTGTAAGTAAATACAGAAACAATGATTGAATAAAAAGTCAGGACATAAGAGGAATCAAATAACCTTGGCTACTGCCTACTTCACCTTTAAAGCCTGGTACTCTTATGTACCTTCCTCATTCCACCCATTAATTTTACCCTACATCCATTTATTTTGCCTTTGCCATTGAATGGCTCCATTTGTATTCCATTTCCTTCTTCATAACTTTTGGGGAGCATGTGGAATAGTCTGTCAGTTCTACCCAGAATATCTTTCTTAAAATCCATCATTAAGCTCCAAAAAACCCCATCTCTACAACTTTAGTCCTAACTCTTATCCTCTGTGACACATTCATAAACCAGATTGTGGAGAATTTGTTGTCCTAATGCTCAGGAAGATTAGAAAGTGGCTGAGGAGGGCAACAGAGCCTGTCTACACACAGCAGCTGACCATAAATAATTTCATACTATAATGCCATTTAGAATAGAGCTCTTGCATTGCTAGTTAACAGAGAAAGCAAAATATATGACTTCAAATGGATTAAGAAACCTAAAACAACACCTTTTGTATTCTAATGAAAATTCAGGAAGCTCAAAACTTTCTCCAAGCCCAGCGCTGATATTGTAAATACTTCCATTGCAGAGAACATGCGGAAGCCAGTCCATGTTGATATCACTGAAGATGTAAAAATCCCTGTTCAGAGGCACAACATAGAGCTTCCCACATCACCACTACGTACACAACATATGTCAAACTTAGATGACATCCAGAACAGGTACTTGTATAAAGTAGGCAGTAGTTAAGCTATAATGAAGGTCTGCATGACAGTCTTATATTTGGGGTATTAAGTAAACCTAAATATACCATTCTAAGATGAAGGTTTGCAATCAGTCCTGTCATTCCAGTGATACTCTTACTATGAGAGAGTACACAAATGTATTCTAAATAAAAACTGTACATGAAGATGAGAGATTTAAACAAAAATAATGTTTCTTTACTCATGTCAGGTACATGCACTAAGTTTATCTCACAGAACAGCACTTTCAACTTACACTGTTTTCCCACCCAACTTCAGACACCCTAAAGTGACTGACTCGCACACTGGCTGCTCATAACTGATTAAGAATCAGGCATTTTTAAGATGTGTGGGAAAATATTCTTAAATTATTTTAAAATGAATAGTTAGAATGTTTTTAATCGTATAGATCTTATATCTTGTATTTCATAGGCTTTTTTAATTCATTTTACAAGGTTACAAAAGCAAGTATTGGACAGCAGAAGGCAGCACCTCTCAGAGAAAGTAAAATACCAGCATAATGTAAGTAAGTTCGTTGTTCTCACTGATGTAAAGCTAAAAATGTGTGGCAATGAATGTACTTTTAAGTGATTTTTCAAAGAGTGACCAAATCTCATGGATACTGAAACATGTGAAGTCTTCCTCTTTAAGGCTATATTGGTATGTTATTTGTCAGTTATATTTTATATTTGTTCATACTATTTCTTACATATTTCTTGAAAGGCTCACCTTGTTTTAGGCATTTTCCAAAACACTTCAGAATGTCTATGCTCCATACTAGTCACAAAGGACAGAGATTATGGGAAAGAGACTGAGGCCAACAGCATGTAAAGTAAAAACAATATGCAGAAATGTGAAATGATGAAACATGAGAAACATAGACAGAAGTGAGTCTTTAAGAGGAACTTAAGTACAAGTCTCAGTGAATGCAACTGGGAATTTCATACACTCATTGAGTGTTACAGTGAAAAACATTCTCTAGGTGGAATTTAAGCTCTTTTTTTATGACCCCGTCCACTGTTGTGTAAAAAGCCAACCAAACACAAAAAAAAATCCACCCGAGTTAGTAAATCTGTTACAAGACACTTAGTTTAGGTTACTTAGACTTGCACAATTATACAGCTCCACTGCCTCCTACTATTCATATCAGATAGGACTCTGAGGAAAAGATGCTTGCACCGTATTGTTCTGTATGTTCTTGGCCCATTCATATCGCCAAAGCGTGTTTTGCCAGAGTGAGAGACAGATGTTTTAGTGTTCGAATTTCTTTTCCTTTTAGTCAGGAAGATTTACTTAGTGTGGGTGAAAAGTTTAACCGTCTAATGTGTTTCAGCCAAGATCACCAAGAGCTGCTACTACTTTTTGGATATCACATTAAGTCAGCCTTCCCTTATGACTCTCATCTGTTTCTTGAAGAAAGAGAGGACATATTTCAGATTTAGCATGGCCAGAAATAACGGATCAAAATAATAGTGAAGTTTCTCTTCAACTTCCACTTGTATAGACATATTTGCATCAGTTCATCAAAACACATGATAATGCAGTGTGCGCACACGGAAAGCTAATTTAATATATGGGTCAAAAAATAAAGTGCAAGGCCTATATGTTGCAAAGAACTGTTTTTAAAACCTTCATAAATTGAAGTATATCCAATTTAAGTAATTAAGATATATCCACTTTATAAAGAGAGGCTATAAAGTCATAATTTTCAGCTTTCTGGAAACTTACAGTTTTTGTGGTACAAAGATTTTGTGCAATGTACAAGGTTTCTGCACTCCATTAGTATTTCGTGCTACCTTGGATAAGCTGGATTACAGGCACTACTTCTGTGTAGCTGTGGATACAGTGACATTTCATGAGTTTTGCCTTCAAATTTCTCCTTGTGTTCTGATCTGTTGAGATAGCATTGTTGGTATCACAACATGCTGGAGACCTCTCCTCAATGGAGTAAATTATTTTTCATTTTACTACTTAAGGACCAAGTCAGCAGATCATTTACCTAAACACCTAAAGCTAACAATGTCTTTATACCCATCTCTCCTCAGGATATCATTTGTGTGCATACTTCAACTTAAGTAGGTACTTATGTGTTTCCCTAAAATTAGCCCTTATTACCTTATGTTTTTGTGAAAAACCGTATCAGAATATGTGAGAATTTTCTCTTGCATGTGGTGTATGTGCGGAGATGTATAAGATATAGAGATGTTTGATTACTTTTAGCTTTATGCTTACACCAAAACAGTTTTAGATAAATTAAATATCTCTTTGCTGTGTTTTGTCTAGTTATCACAAGTAACAGAATTCACGTATGATGGCTCTACTATGGAACATGAAGACAACATAGCAAGAGCTTTTAGTGCCTGTCCATTGTCCTCTTCTGTTTTTCGGTCCTCTAACTGTACACAATTTTCAGAGGAAAATTTCAACACAAACCTAATGGGCAACACTTGGGAACAGTCCTATGAAGAGAAGCTGCAAACCCAGGTTTGATTAATATTTTGTAATTTCTGCAGAATTATTTTAGACTAACTTTCATTTATTTGGGGTGTAGGATTAGTGTAATGGTGAAAGTAATTATGAATGATCAACATTTCTTGTGGGTTGGTGGCAATGAATATTCCATATATATAAATATATTTCTTTTATTGTTATGAAATACACTTAACTTGAGCTTTTATTCACTGATCTCTCAGTATTGTTGATATCTGCAGAAAGAGAGTTAGTTGCATACCACTGGCTTTCTTTTGTCTCTGGCTTTTAAAGTTGGTTAAAGAAAGCTGAAATGTATTACAGTTATAAATACAGATTTCTTAAATGTACAATTAGTATAACTGGGTATCATACGATGCCAGGTGATCACCGTGACCTAATTTCTAATCATGCAGTGTCTCATTGAGTAACACAGTTCTTACAGTATTCTCAATGCTTCTAAAAGTATTGAGAAAAAGCCTGCTGTTTAGCTCAAGTTAAGAAATGATTGAAAGTTTTTTGTCCTGATGCATGTTACTATTTTTTACTTTTTGTTAACTTTGGGGTTCTTAAAAGAAGCATCCTTAGAAAAGTAATATCAAGTATAAGGGGGTCTCATAATATGCTTTATTTTTAGAAAATGTATTATTTATTTAAAATAATAAAACAAATTCTATGCGTATCACTAGTGGTATTTTAAAGTCTTTAGGTAAGTGAAGAATGAGTACTTTAGGGCTTCAGAAGGGGAGATGTTGAGTTGTTCAGGGAATGAGTGGGCAGAAACCCACAGGAAGCTGACTTGAAGGACAAAGGAGCCCCAGAAAGATGTTTTCAAACAGTCCACCTCAATGTGCAAGAGAGCGAGTAAGTCCTGGAGGCCAGTTTGGCGGAATCAGGGAACTCCTGACTGAGCTCAAATGCAAAAAGGAAGTGTGGAAGGAGGGGTGGACCACCCAGGAAGAATACAGAACCATCCCCAAACTTGGAGGAGTTGCATTAGGATGGCCAGTGCTGAAACTCACAAGGATTGAGAACGGCAGTGAGGAGGACTTCTACAGGTATGTCAGCAGCAAAAGGAAACCAAGGAAAATGCTGTCCATGGCGAAACAGAGTTGATGACCTAGTGACAAAGGACATGGAAAAGCCTGAGGCACTCAAGACCTACTTTACTCCAGGCTTTTCTGACAAAGTCTGCTCTCTGGCACATCTTCAGACTCAGTAGAGAGTTTGGGAGACAGTCGTACAAAACAGTAGTGAAGGATCAAATTAGGGAAACCTTAGCAACCTGGACATAAAGAAATACATGGGACCGGACAGGGGGCATCCAAGTATATTGAGGGAGTTGGACGACACCACTGCAGGGCAGATGTCTACCATCTCTGAAAGACTGTGGTGATCGGGAAAGTGTCTCAGTGACAAGAAATACACAAACGTTATGCTCATCTGCAAAAACATAAGCATGATCTGGCTAAGGATCATCTCGCCTCTGTCCCTGAAAAGTTTATGGGACTAGACCTCTCGGAGGCAATTCCAAGGTACATGAAGAACAAGAAAGTCACTGGGAACAGCCAGCACAGATTTACCAAGGCCATACTGTGCCTGATGAAGCTGTTTGCCTTCTGTGATGAAATGACGAGCTCTATGAATAAGGGACAGCAGCAGATGTTATTTACCCGACTTTAGGAAGGCTTTTGACGAGGTTTCCCAGGGGATCCTAGTAGTCAAAGTGGGGAAGTACGACCCAGATGAGTGGAAAATAATATATGTAAAAAACTGGCTGTTACTGTCATGGTCAAAGCAGTTGTCTGTGGGCTAAAGTCTAATTGGCAACAGGTCAGTAATGGCAGGGATCCCCAGAGTTTAATACCGAGTCTCATACATTTTCATTAGAGAGTTGGACAATGGGACAGAATGCACCCTCAGCACCTCAGCAGGTTCCATGCAAAACACCAAATTGGCAGAGTGATCATTACAGTAGCAGGGCTGCTACTCAGAGGAATCTTGACAAGCAGAAGGACACCAGGAACTTCATAGAGTTTAAGACAGAGAAATAGAAAGCCTTGCACTTTGGAAAATAACCCCACACATCAGATCAGGTGGGGACTGACTAAGCAGGCAGCAATTTTGCAGAGAAGGACCTGAGGGTGCTGGTGGACAACAAGTTGTACATGAGTCAGCAGTGCACCCTTGTAGCACTGAAGACCAACTACATAGAGGGCTGTATTAGAAAGAGCATAGCCAGCAGTGAAAGGCAAGCGATTATTTCCCTCTGAGTGGCATATGTGAGACCACATTTGAAATACCATGTCCAGTTTTGGGACCGACAGTAGAAGAGAGAGATCAACAAACTGTAGCAAGACCAATGAAGGGCCACAGAATTTTTTTAGGGTATTGGAGCACATAATGAATGTGGAGAGACGGAGTGAAGAGGACTTTTTGATCAGCAAGTACTTGAGTGCGAAAAGGGCTTGGGAAAGAGAAAGCTGTGGAGGTGTGGGGTGAACTAACTGCTGTCTTCCACGGTCTAAACAGAGTTACAGACAGGACAGAGCCAGAGGTACACAGTGAAATGTCAAGAAGTAAAGGTCACAAGTTTCAACAATGGAAATTCTGTTTGTATAGGAAAAAAATATTGTCTCAAAAGTAGCTAAGCACCAGAAGAGGCCATACAAACAGGCTGTGGAATCTCAGTCCTGAACAATCCTGACCAATCCGGCCTAACCTTGAAGCTGGCCCCTCTTTGAGGATGTTGGACTAGATACCTTTTGAGATCCCTTCCAGAAAACAGCTTCCTATTATTATGTGATCTTCCGTGGAACTTCAGCTTGTTACAGTCTATTAAGCTTGCTCATACAATGGGAGGATGGGGTGCTAAAAGGAACTTTTAGAATATTGACAGTGATACGCAAATATGGAAAAATATGAGTTATACAGAACTCGGGCTGTAAGGAGGTTTGGGCTTCTACTGTAAGGACAAAAAGAAGTAAAATCAGCGGGAAAACATGTATATTATTTGCAAACCCAACTTTAATGTTTTAAATACTATAACTATTACATATATTCAGACTTTGACAGATTCTACTGTTTTCTCAGCCAGGAAATAGTTCTGATCAGGACCCTTGGATAACAAAATATCCAAGACACTGTATTTTCAGGGAGTCTGATACAGTGCCTCAGGAACTATTTAAGCCATTGCATAGGTAGGCCGTGTTTTTACATTAAAGAGAGAAATAACAGTGAAGTTTAAGAAAGAAAAATACTAAGATAATCTGAAGCTTATTGCTACTTGATTTTTCACTGATTTTTGGTGCTTTTCAACAAGATATTGAAATTAAATGGGAAGACTGGACATACCAAACTATTTAAGTTTACTTAACTCAATTTGCTTAAATTAAAAGGCAGAAAAATGTGAATTTTAGGTAGGCTTTTGGAACCATGATCTGTTTTTTCCAATGTCACAAACATGATGGTGTTACTGAATTTATCCCAAGTGAGAAGCACAGATTTACTAAGAGGCCACAGGGAGGGTAGCTGCCCCAGCTCTCATTGGTTCTGGTCACTGTTGCAAGTGCTTTTCGGATGACCTTGATGCTGTAGCAATTGAGAAACTTCTCCACCTACATTGTTTACATTTGTGATTCCAGGAACAAAGCATTTTCTTTCCTTCTTTTTCATATGTGATCCAACTAAAGCTTTTTTTTTTTAGGATTGGTTCAGTTATACTTTTAGGAGAATATACACTTCTTACAGGGCTAATCTTCCTTTACTCTTTTTATTCTGTAAGTCTGCTGTTTGGTTGCAGGTTTCTATCAGTCTCTATCTTTGGCTGGATAGAGCCATAAAAGGCCATATATTGTACTGCTGTTCCTGAAGTACCTACAGCCTGTTTGCCTGGGGAGTCAAGTGACAAGCTCACTGACCACATCAGCTTCCAGTCTTAGCCACCTTAACTTTCTCTTTCTCTTTTCTCCTAGTTTCTTTTGGCTTTCTCCAGCAAAACCTAAAATGAGGATAACATTCACCTTGCTGTATATCTTAGTGAATTCCAGATGAATATCTGTAGGGTAAAGCCCTACCTAACCATACCCCACCTACCTCTCCCCTTTCATTTCTCCACAGGCCCTCAGGCCTGTGCTCATCTGCTTATGGCACCTCCCTTAATCCTCTGCCCATTCACGGTTCACTTACAACATCTCCTTTCAAAGTGTTCTTCAAATCCATTTCTTTGTATTGTCCTTGGTTTGTTTTCATCCATTGTAGCCATAAATTTTCATACCTCAGGAGCTGGCAGTTCTCCTGGAAAGGGAGTTTCTTTCACTGTATGTGAAAAGTAAAGTATAAAATTATACAATTGTTTAATGTAATTGTTGCATACTGACGATACAATCAATGTGCATACATCTGAGAGCTGTTGCTACTCAAGATCATTAAATATTAACTAAAAAATTTACTTATTTCATCATCTGCTCTTAACTTATACTTAGCTGGAGTGAAGAAGGAGCCTCTGAATTGCCTCAAAAAATGGTTTTATCTTCCTCACGTAGATTTATCCAAGCTTCTCCAGAAACAAATTCTAGTCTGTTTAGCCTTTTAGAACTGTTCTGGGGAGGTTTCTGTAAGCAGAGGACACTACTTTCTCATTTAAGTGCTCTAGGATCTTTATCCAGTTCCAAGTATTTGCTGATCAAAAACTTACAGAATTTTTCTCCAGTAGAGTTTTGTCTGCTACATTTCAGTTTTCAAATTCTATTGATAACATTCCTCAAAAATTTTTAAAGAAAGGGCATTTTTTGGAAGACCTTCTTTGCCACGTCCCTGTGCTTCAGAATCCTCTCAATTTTGAATTTTCTGAAAGGTCAGTCAGCAGATCAAGCCTAGAAAAAAGCAGTGAAAATGTTAGATTAAGATCTAAGTAAGTGAAAGTATGATAGCTTTCATGCTAATAACGCATGATAACATCTTCAAAACCACTACTATCAGAAGTGAGGTAAGGAAGTATGGGCAAAACAAAATGTCTGACTGGCCTCCTGACGGAATAGAAAAAATCTGTGCTGAATTAGGATTACTGACCTTGAGTACAAATGGAAGCCACTTGCTAAAGAGACCAGGAATTAAGCAGTACACACAATTTGTGTGTACTTATGGGCTTTCAGTACAGGAGAGAACTGTAGTCTTGAAGAACAAATTATATTTATGAACAGAAGCTGTCTTCCTCTTTTTCTTTTTTTTTTTTTCTTTTTTTTTTTTTTCTCCCAGAGTGGACTTCTTTGGTCAGCTGGTGGAGCAGCAGTGACATACTGTGGCTGATTTTATAAATCACAGTTCCTTACTCAGGAGGATGTGCTCCATGTCTTTGTGTGTTTGGAGACATCATGAAACAGAACCCTTTTTAAATCAACCTTACTACAAGTGGAAATAAAATACAGGACACTTTTTCAGTTGAAATAATTTTGATTTGGGACAAAAGCAAGTGTGATGAGCAGTAAAGTCTTTGAGATTTTTATCATAAAGTTATCATAATTTGTTGTGTTAGCAGTTGGTAGTTTTCTTATTTACATACTGAGCAAACTGTTTTTTCTTTTCTAACCAACCCCCTTGCCCCTTACCCCCAGGCTAGACTATATGAATTCTGCCAGAAAAAATCCAGTGATAATGACCAGTGACGAATCAGAAAACAGTCAAGGAATAAAAGACCCATTGTTTGATGTTGTGAAAGAAACTGCAGAACTGAAAGCTCCCCAAGATTGTTCCTTTCTGGCACTGTTTGAAGATGAGACCCAACCAATCCATAATAAACCTTCCACAAAGCATTTTAATCCTTTTGTTAACCAAAGCAGCACTGCTATTTTTTCCATTGATCCTGACGATAGAAATCAAATGAGCAACAGAAATTACCCTTATGATACTAGGGAGGCTTATCCTGCAATCAGTGCAAAAAGAAGTTCGATAGACAGAAACCTTGAAGGCATTTTCACAGCTCCAGAACAGGTTTTACTTAAAAGTAACAATACCTCAAGTGCAACCTACAAGAAAAGCAGTGGACTTCATAAAACCTACCTGCAGGACTGTCATGAGCAACAGCACTACTTCATACCCTCTGAAAACAAAGAAAAACCTGCAAACCTTGAAAAAATTGGTGAGTGTCAATATTTTAAGGACAGATATTCTGAATTTTATTCTCCTTTTAAAGACATATGTTTTCATAACCACAGATATGTCTGCCCTGACCAAAAACATCATGAATCTTCATAATGCAGTAATTTAATTTTAAATCAAATTACTGAAATTATTTTTAAAAGTTGACAGAAGTATTTATTTTCAAATTGCATTTATACTATTGCATTTTAAAATCAAGGTTTACTTTTTTATTTTAGAGACAATTGCTTATCACCATGATCAGCAGATTAACTTAAAGGACAATGTGCAGAAATATTCAAGAAAAAAAAGGTGAGTGCCATGCAAATTATCAATCTATTAATTAGTGATAACTGCAGAGACCTTGCTGAATTGGAGAAATCTTGCTAAGAGTACATGAAAGCAAAATTCTAAACATTATTACTGAGGACCAAAGTTTTCCCAGTGAAAATAGTAGTGAATAATGTGAATAAAATTATGCACATGTAAGCCCTTTATACCATTGTTCATCTGCCTACAGTAAGTACATAGAAAGACTGCTTCATGGGACAGTTTTGAGTCCCTGAAGTTAAGCTGTTGCTCTGACTGGTCCTCTAAAAGACTCTGTCTCTTTTCACTGACTGCAGAAGAAGTTAATGTCTTCCCTGGACTAAAGTTAGCACAAGTGAGTGCCCCATGTTTTACAAAAGATGGTTTTATCAAGGACTCTGATCTGTTACACCTTCCGTTTTACAAAGCAGCACTATCTTCTCTCATCTCTCATATTACATTTTGCATTTCAAGAGAAGTGAAGGTTGTGAAAAACAGATTGTTGGTGTTAAATCTCAGGTTCAGAAATAAGTTCAATGATCTCAATAGTGGGAAGCATTTCATGGTTACTGAAGACAAAATAAAAATTGAAGACAAAAAAGTCACCAGTAATGACTTAATTCAGAAAGAAAATGAAAGTACAGGAGGTGAAATCACTTACCAGAGAAATCTGTGTTTGCACCCTTCAGTGACGACAAGTCTGTGAAAGAATCCACCTGGAGACAGAAACAGCTCTTTGGATTTGAACAGGTAACTTTTTAAAGAGACATATTTTTTGTCAAACCTACTGTTTGCACCATTCATTTGAAGTGGAGAAGGAATGTCTATAACAGTTAGAAACTGAATTTAGCTTCTCTGAATTAACTTCTGTGGAAGCTTCCTTTCCTTCATGGTTTATATAGGGAATCCAGAAAGAACAGCTTCTAGTTAAATGGTTCAGATAGACAGCCCTTTCAAGTGCGTAATTTACATGATTTGATTCACACCTAAGCTGATGCCTGAAATAAAGTGCCTAAGTTACCCATTAACCCTTAGGATCAGATTCTGCAGGCCGTGCCCAGACATTACATGCAGAACACTTTAGTATGATAAAGAAGCTTTTTGTCCATATACATGTAAAGAATCGTGTAGATATTTTGCCCATAGAAGTCACCCAAGTACATACAGTATTGGTCAGGGGTTTTGTACCTCTTAAAATAATTTGAGTACAGTGCAGTGACTCCTTTATGTAATACATCAATGGAATGTTCCTTGCTTAACCTGAGGTCCTGATCCAGCTGAACCCTCGCTATTAACACTTACTTATTTTTCAAAGTTCACAACAGCACAAGAGAAAGAGTATAAGTTTGGAGTGAGTTCAAATCTTCACGAGATGGAGAAGGGTTAGTACCATTTATACATTATTAAGTAAAAAATCAGATTTTTCTCTACAAGTGAAACTGCAACAGTTACTTCTAAAGCCAGGGAGATGTGTTTTGATCTTTTTAGGATGTTACATTTGATGAGGGCTTGTATGTTTGAGTCACACAGCACTGTGTAAAGAAGACTAGCATTACCTGGTAACTAGTCTGTATTTGCTTTTCCTTGAAGAGATAAATTCAGGTTAGATTCTCTCTGGTGAGTATTACGCACATATTTTTCATTGTCCCATTTCTTCCAAAGCTGTCCCCTAAACTGAAATGCCAGCTCTGAAAGTAGGGGTAACTGCTAAAAAAAAATTTAAATAAACGCATAAGAGAGGTCAAGAATGTTAATCTGAACACCACAACTCAAGTTTACCAACATCACCACATAGTAAAATGCTGAGTAAATTGCAGTAATTTTCTTTCTTTCTATTCCTGCAGATCTCCGTTGCCTGGAAAAAATCTTGGACATGTTTTCTCTATTAATGAATATCTTCATTAGGTGTTTGACATGTGCCATTTTACTGGTCTAGACTTTACTAGTCTTTACTAGTCTTTATTCTCTTCCACTAGACTATATGCTGTGGTTCCACACGTGGACAGAGTGAGGGGAGTCAGTGGGAGATCCCACGTCCTTTTTAGGAGCTGTGTGGGTCGGTTGTGCTGGCTGCATTTCAGAGCAGAAGAGCTCCCGAGGGCCTCCAAGAGAAAAACATGTAACTTGTATGGCAGCCAATGTGTGCAGGGAGTTTGCTCCCCTCTCTCCCTGCCCCTGGTCTGCATAGTCCTTCCTCTTTTTGGGTAGCACAGTTCTGCTGCCAGTGCAGGCTGCTGATCAGTGGCACAGCTGAAGCTTTGCGGCACCCATCTCACTCTTTCTGTTAAGATGTGTTGTCCTGAGAGAAGAATTGGCTGTTGCCAAGAACTAGATTCACCTCACTAACACTTTATTCTTTAAACAGTATCTTAAAACTGCATCTTAAGTAGTAATGTTTAATTCTACATGCTGTACTTGGGAGTTGGATGTTTGGGGAAATTTTGGGGAGTAACCTTTCTGTCCTTTTCATCTCATTTTCCAGATGCGGAGTCATCACTCAGCAGCCAGTCTCCCAGTTACTCTCCAAGGCAGACAGAGAGCTGTTTCAGCTCTAGTCCCGACACGGTGAGTACCGTCCTTTTATGGGTTTGCAGGGGTTCATTGAATAATATCTGTATGCCCTAGTGCAGCTAAGGGTGGATGTAGCTAGAATCTTACTTATGGTTTCATTTTGTGCGAGGCAACTTCATGTGTGAGGAAGATAAGAAATGATTAGCTGTGAATTTTCCTAAGTACTTCAACAGACATGTTGTCTGGTCTTTTGATAATCCCAGGCCTTGTGGAATTACAGTAACATGGCAGTGGGAAGATGCTAAGCAAGCTTCTACAGTCTTCCTGATGTATAGCTGCCTTACTTTACATGCCTGTAAGGCAGGAGGATTTGACACACTGTGTGTCTTCAGCCATTCTCAAACACAAAAATGCCACAATGTAAGAATATAAATATTGAGTGAGAGTGAAGGTCTGCCTTACCCACCTTCTCTTCAACAAAGGCCAGGAATACACTCCAGGAGAAAGACTGAAAAAAACCCCAACCAACCAAAGCCAGGCAGTTCTGGCCTTCCTGTTTATTTCGTTAACTTGGTTATTAGTTAGTCATTAACTTAGTCCTTAGTTATTGAACTGTTTAAACTGTTGCATTCACACAATTCTGTTCCAACAGTCTGAAGAGGAAGACGAAGCCAAAAAGAAGGAATATCTGAATGAACGGTCCTTGAAGAGAGAGGATGCCAACCTAATCCCAGCCTCAGCAAGTACAGAGCCCCCCACGGCCTCTCACACCAGAACTGTGCCTCTCCAGCCCAGCAGTATTTTGACTAGAGGAGAAGAAAACCATCTTCAGGAGAAGGACTCTATTTCATGTGCCACAGAGGAAGAAAATAAAAACCACACTGCCCCATCTGAGGGCAGCTCATCACACCTCACCCTTAAAAGACAGCATGTCACTCTCAGTACCAGGTGTGATGTTTGGTCACAGACTGAGAGCTCTGTTAGAGAAGTAGACAAAGTGGATGTTGCCACCCAGTGTGGCACCACGCGGGTGTGCAGCTGTGGGAGCTCCCTGCCCTCTGCCCGCAGCCCAGGAGGGCTCCCTCCTCCCAGTGACACAGGCACCGCTGGAGGGCACAAAATGCCAGCGCATGAGGTGCTGCAGCCTGCAGGAATAGCGGCGTTTTCTTCTGAAGCCGAGTATCTGAGTTTGGCTGGCAGAAGGACTCTAGAGGTGCTCAACTACATTGATATAATGAAGGAGAGAGATAAGCAGTGACCAACTAGAATGGCACATAAGGAATACAGAAGTTTTGTCCTGTTCTCAATATGTTTCATTTAATTGGCATATTTTGATTTTTCTAGCCTGGTTAGAAAAAATGGGGGGGGGGTTGCTGTTTGTTTGGTTTAAATTATTATTAACTGTGCATCTCTATCTACCTACAGCTATCTCTAACTATGGAGTTCTATAGGTCTCTAACTGTTAACATAGGATTTTACAATAGGTTGTTAAATACAAACCTTAGGAATTAGATTGGCTTTCCCACCATATATCCATAGCATTCTCTAGTTTGGGATTAATTTTGCGTCTCTTGAAGGTAGTGGAAAGTTTCTGTTTCTCTTCAAAACATATCTGGTGTGGCTCTAGGTTCAGAACTATCGTCTGATTCTTACCCACTTTAACAGGCAAACTAGTCTTTGCCATATTTTTGTACTAAATGTAAAAATGGGAAACAACAGAAAATACACATCTGCACACAGAGAATAAAATATAATAAAAAAAACTATTATTAATTTTTACCAAAAAAAACCCCAAACAACCAAGGCTTAATCTTCCTTCCATAGCAGACCCATTGATTCATTCTCTGGCTGTTAATACTGAGAAATCTTTTCTGTGTTTCTGTGTTTTGCCTGCAAATTGAAAATCTGAAATGCTTTCCTCTGCCTTTCAGTGTTTGTGTGAAGCTACAAATCACAACAAATAAAAGTTTCTGATAATATTGTTTCTAGGTTATATTCTTTTTCTCTAAAAAAGTTGCTAGTAAAGGGTGCAGGGAGACTCACTCTGTTACTGACATCTTCTACTTACATATCCATACACCTTTACTTATTTATACATATCTATATACGTTACATATGTGTGTGTGCGTGTATATATATCTGAAAGTGTGTTTGTGTATACGCTGGCGTTAGCCAGCTGACTGCGTGCAGGGGTCCTGCTCATTACAAACCGTGTTTGGGCAGAAGCTGTGCTGGAGACCATTCCTGAAACAGGGCAGGAGATTTGCTTTTATGTGGTCAGTATGTTGTGCTTCCTCCCTTGGGACACAGCTGTTAAAATTTGCTACCCTTATTCCCACCAGGTTGGTTTCTTTTATTTCTACATTTTGCAAGAAAGGGTTTTGCAGATGAAGGGATGTGTGTCACCCAGCCCTGGTGAGACCCATTGCCATTCTTTATCTCCGTTCTCATCATCAAACTAGTAGCTGTGTTTTCTGCTAGCTTTTATTTTGGAAGCTGAGTTATTTTTAAAAGAAGGTCTACATTGCTCAACAGTTTGCAGGTTTATGGCTATGCCATTTTAAAAATAGCATCTCAGAAATTTCAGTGGACTTTTCTGTGCTTGGAAGAAAATGGCGTTGTCTTTTATATATATGAATTGCATACGTGGGAAGTGGTTCACACAGCCGGACTTCTGAAATGTGTAACTATCATTTAGCCAATTCACTGCCCACTTCCTAAGGCTTGACACAAGCAGATTCTCTTTTTTAGGTTGCCTCAATTTAATGTCAAAGCAAGCTCCCTAGTAATTTTTTCATCTGAAACTGCAGTTTTTGTCTTCTTCACAGGAGCTATAATTTTTTTGAATAACAGCTGTGATTTGCTGCAAGCTCAGCCATTACTGGTGGTTTGTAAGGCAGGGTTGTTCGCTCAGCGTTATGAAGCCTGTTCAGATTGTGCCCCGGCAGCAGCAGCCTGTGCCGACCTGAATTAGGCCATTGCTAAAGCGTATGTTTTCCCAGCAACACCCCCTACCTGGTAGGTACCCATCAGCCTCTCCAGCGGCACGTGTCCTGCTTCACAGCCCTCCCCACGGCCGAGCTGCTGGACCTTGCTCGGTCTGCCAGCCTTCTGCAATAGAGCACAGCAGCAGCTGGAGAAGGGCATGTTACAAGTAAAAGCTCTGGTGCTCTATACTTTAGGTTTGAGGGTTTTTTTTTTTTATTAAACTGGCAGATGTAAAATTGCCACAGGGCCAGAGGTGTCTCTGGTGGCTGTGCGTAGAGAGATGCTGAGGTCACCCAATCCGAGGGAAACTGCCATTAACTTGCAGTAGAAGTTGTACTCCTGATTTCTGTGAGAGTGGCATCGTTGCTGGGACTTCTAAATTTTGTTTTGTTTTACAGTGAAGTGCGCTACCCACATTCAGGCCAATACTCTTGATCTGCAGAGCCGGCCTCTGAGCAGGACAGACTCCCAGTTGGTTCCTGTGAACCTACTGGACAAAGAGTGCAGGTGAGAACTGGGGAAAGAGAGCTGGTTGCACTGTACAGACACATGTGTAGGGGTTTCAAATGAAGCAATGCCTCTTCATTAAGCTACCTCTCCTGTCTCTCACTGTTGAGAGCCTTTCAGTGGGTACAGCTTATTTTCACTTCAGCCACTAATACAGAAGTGCTCAAAATACGTCCGGTTCCAGCCTAGATGGCACCATTTCCCAGGAAGGACTGGAATTATGCAGCTCAGTGCCAGACACGCATTTTCTGACTGGCCGTCAGTAGGAGCTGCATACATATCTCTAATGCAATAATTCACCACTTGGGATGTGTCAATCACCACAGATAATCATGTTCCAAAGCTCTTGGATGAGAGCGTATAAAATCCAATTACCTTACAATTTTTACCTGTAATTGCAAAGCAATCAGAAGAAAGAAAACGATCTTTGTAGTGGTATGTGTGCCTGCAACGATGATAGGTAGGGCAGCATGCTCTTTTTAGCTACTGGAGAAGCATTTTAAAGTATTTACATTACTATTATTGCATTAGAAGAGAATTATGCTTCCTCCTTGTCTCAGTGCCGGTCTCCCCCTCTGCTCGGGTGTTTTCTTTCGACTGCTTTTTTTTTTTTTTTTGTGACTTTTGGGAAGAGCTGAGTTTGGTTTAATAGGAACCTCCTCTCTCTCAGTGGTAGCCTCAAATCGTGCTTTCTTCAGCTGATATTTCAGCAGCCAATGCTGCTGAAATAAGTCACCGGTACTTGTAACCTGCAGTAATGACCATTGTCCCACTATACACACCCAGACACCACCAGCTTTCTCCGAGGCAATGGCGTAGGCAGAGGCGCTCCTTGTCATCCACATTAATCTCACTGGAAGCATGCTAAGCTTCTGGGGACACCACAGAAGTGTATATGTTTTTAACTGTGTTTGATGAGAATCAGTTATCAATCAGTTGTTTTGCTGGGGAAGAGGACAGAGGGGTACCTGTAATTAAACAAAAAACGGGAGCACTGGTTTAGCGTTGGCACTCGAATGCTTCTAAATATAGATGGAAAGAAAGAATATCTCCCTGAAAATGTTACCCTAAGCTTCAGGCAGAAGCAGTTTTAATATGCACCTGGTAACCTTTTTTTCCTATAAAATCAGCTCTAATCAGGACAAAGTTTTCTGGGCAAGCACCGACAGAAGTTTTGTTTCATTAATGGGGCAGTTTATTGCTGGATGGAATTATGCCAAGAGCCTCCACAAACTTTGTAGAAATCCTTATATCATTTTTGTGAAGGATTATCACTTGGGAAATGAGAAGCTTAAATCTTCGTGCAAGTGATTATTTCTTAGGTGGAAACTGTGAATTGGCTTTTTAAGGGTTTTAGCAGAGAACAGATTCAGGAAGGATGAGGATTCCTGGAAAAAAATATTCAACTCTCTGCATCCAATGCCTCAGCTGTCCCCACAAAAGCAAATGACCTTCCTGCAATGCTTCTTCAGCCCCTTCTCACTGACAGCCTCTGACGGGTCAGACGTGACAGTCCCAGTTACCCGAATCAGAGCTGGCTTCTCCAGAGCTGGTGACATTCAACTCCAACAAGGTCTCATACCTCCAGGAGCTGCATACTGCCCGCTCCTCCTCTCCCCTAGCCACACTGCTGGAAATTCACACCCTGCGCCTCAACGGTGCTCAGTTTGGGTGCTGCAGCTCTATGGGTGTGAAACTCAACGGAGGGCAGCTCGCAGTGAGCTCACGTGTGGCAGGCAGACAGCTGCAGGGGATGCTGACACACCGGCTGCGTGTGAGACGGTGGGGAATCCTGGGGCAAACGACGGAGGGGTGGAGAGTCAGTGAAGATAAGGCAGGAGGCTGCGAGACGGCCGTTGTATTATTTAATAGAGCTGCAATAAAACATTTCCAAATCAACCATGTTTGTGCAGGCTTGGAGAGAGAGGGCTGTGATTTACTGCCGCTGTGTCACGCTCAGCACACGGGGGCTGGCCAGACCGAAGGACCCAGAACTGTGGCCATTCACAGGACAAACCAATACGTCACGTTGCAGAAGATTTTCTCTGTTCCCCTGGCTGGAGTAATTCTCAGGAAGCAGGAGGTCTGTATGGAGATTTGTTCTCCAGAGAAACTGCACTCCCTGCAAACACATGAATTTTTAGGGAACCCCAGACCAGCTGAAGCCAGTGGGGATCTCTGGAGCTTGCCCAGTCGGAGCCCCACTCAGGGCGGGGCCAGCTGGAGAAGGGTGCTCCAGGTTTTGGCGACTGTCACCACACACGTGGGCTGGGGATGGAGGAATAAACCATGCCAGGTAGGTCTGCCTGACCTCCTTGGAGCACATCTCCTGCCTCTGCTCATCCACGTTTCCCTGCAGCAATGAAGAGCAGCAGTGTTTCACCCCAACACCAGCTCATCCCCAAGTGCCAGAGCTGCAGAGCCTTGTCCACAGCAGCCCTGCAGCAGTGCCTCGGGGCTGTGCTAACAACGAGCACTGATCATTCTCCCACCAGGGACCTGGGGGGGGTCCCGATGCCCTCAGTGTCTCTGTGAATCCCACCCACCACGATGAAACTTGACATATATGGCCCTTCCAAGGGATTTGCTCCTTGCTCTTTCTGCCCATGTTTCCTTGGCAACCTCATCCAATCTCAGTTCCACACATCACCTTCATTACAAAGTTTAGCTAATCCAGCCCCCTCTGCCCTCAAACTGCTTGTGCATCTCCAACCACCTCCCTGATGGGCCCCAAAACCCTCACTGCTCTTTCAGGCATGGTCC